GAATTGTTTTTAAATGTCATTTTCTACTATTGAACATGTTCATATTTAATAAACTTGACTTGGGAGTATATATTTAATTTTAGCCAGTAGTATGATAATTTTTATTGTGTCAAATAAATCTTTATATATGACATTCATTAAGGAACCTAGGCAAAATTAGTGGAATGTTGATGTGGGTCGTAAAGTGAAACTTTATGGTTACTCATGCTCAGTTGCCAACTGATTCCTCTAACCTTTACTAAAACACCTTAGCTGATTGCATAGATTTGTTTACTAGATTATTATCAGTAGAAATCTGGCATTAAATGATGTAGAATGAATGAACCACTCCAAAACTTTCTTTTGTTCAACAGTGAATATTTACGATATTATGAATATGCCTTATGCTTTTTTTTTTCTAATATAGCTATGTTATAATTCATCACTATCTGGTGAACTATCAAGGCAAGTTTGTGCTCTTCTTTCTTTTAGAAGTAATTATGATAAAAATTGGAGCTTCAGAAACATTTAACTTTTATTTAAAGTCTCTGAAGTGGTAAATATATATAAAGTTCCCAATTTAAATTCTAACTCAATTATATTTACCATTGTATTATAACAGTGGTAATATTCCATTTAAATATAAATTCCTCCTCATTTCTCTTTCAGATGGCCAGTGCTGACTTTAGCCTTTAGCCCTTGCATTTCTCTTATGCTCTTATCTGCTGGATTAAACAAGCTGTAGTACCATAAATCTTTTGTATATGTTCTTACTAACTGGCTTGGGGAGTGGCTAATCTGTTACGGATACTTCTGGATATTAACTCTGTTGTACAGCATCCTGTCTTCTTTCTAGAACTTGGAAGTTCAGTTTAATTGAATATATGGAAGGGAAATGTTCCTTGGTATGTGCTTGTCATTCTGTAGAGATTTTTACTACAACTCTGCCACCTAATAAATCTTGCTGCTTATGTGAATACTGGCCTGCAGTTTAAAATGAAGGTATGCAACGTATGCTATTCTCCTGTGCACACCCTTCAGAAAGTAACAGTCTAGGTGTGGCAAACCTTTGGTGCTTAAGCAGGCCCCGCAAATTGCTCTTGATGTCTACTTTTCCTGAAGGTTTCTCAGACATCAGTAGGAGTGGGATGCTGTCTGTAGGCATTATTCTAGCTATGCCGCTTTCTGTGCTGCTGTCTTAATGGTGGTTGCATGGCCCTTCCTTTGCCAGTGACCAAACACCTCTTTCATGTAGCATAAACAGTTATGTGACAGTAAGTATATGCGCATCGTGTCTGTGCCCAGAGGGTGAATTTATACCTGGACTTGTGACTAAAGCGCGTGCGGTCGTTTTGGCCAATGTAGATTTTAATTAGTTGACAGGGTCACTGTCAGTCACAGAGCAAAACCAAGTCCATGAATATTTGGCTTTATATCATGTAGAATATTGCCCTGATATGATTTGCTAAGAGGTTAGGTAAAGGTAATGCTGCTAATCTATGTGCTGTTGGTGAGATTTGGGATTTCGTAACATTTGGAAAGAAAAATGATACACTTGATATAACTCAGGAAACTTAAAGGCATAGCAAAACAGAGGGCTATTGCTTTGTTTTAAATAGAGTAGACCCTTTATCTCACCATTTTCCACAAACATCATTACAAAGCAGTGTCATGCTCTTATAATTATTACTATTTTTTTAGGGAAGTGAAATAGCTTCATCAAAGGTTATCTACTCTTGCTAAAGAAACTATTTATCAAAAAATCATCAGCCTAGTGAAAAGGGAAATTGTTGGCAATTTACTAATGCCAAAGGGCTGGTCTAATAAAAACAGCCCTTATAAGTCACCTTCATTACATTACATAGCTAGCAGGAAGATGGTGGTCATGAATGTGAATAAATGCCAGTGATATTTTGCACTTATTGCAGCAGCATAAATGTTCTGCGTCTTGGCTGTGTAAGACGACTTAACATTTGTGTCTAAACCATATGACAGCAGTAGAATTACATAAGTTATTTTGACTGGAGTTTTATGCAGTACAGCCTTTTCCGCACAAAATTTATGAGCTCAAGGTAGTAAAAAAGCCCATACTCAAACATAAGATCTGATCCTGAAATCAGCTTTGCTTGAGGGTCTGCTAGGTTTCTGCTAGACGCTAAGCATTCATACTGGCTTGATCTCAGAATCAGTGATGCATGTCTTTGGTTACTAAATTATAGATTGGTATTACGTTCATCGTTGTCCAAACGTGTAAAACAGCAAGAAATACCTTTATAAGACCTATTTCTCCTGCATATAAACATGAAAGTATATCTTCAGGTAAAGCTGATAGTTCTCAGCAAAAAGAAGTATTGTAGAGTTTAAAAACTGCTTGTATTTCTGCTTTCTTCAAGCAAAAGTATTTTGCAGCCTGGCACTGATTCACACTGGAGTAACTGGCAGGAACGTGGTTCAGCCTTTCCCATTAGTATCATTTGCTCTTTTCCAATGAGCAGCAGGGGAGCCATGCCTCATATCTTGCATTGCTTTACTTTTCATGTGCACTAGCATTTGTATAGCACTCATTAAGAACCGTTGCTTCTCAGGAGTGGTGCACCATAGCATTCAGACCAACTCAATGTATTGGATTTTATTAGGGACATTTTCGTTCAGCTGTCAACTGACTGAAGTATATTTATTTTTACCAGTCTGTCACTCATGTTACCAGCAGCATGTTATCTACTTTTCTGCCATTTTATTCAGACACACAAAATACCTTATCAGTACCCCTTCCATGCCTAAAAAATATTTCAAAGTGCAATCATTTGGACAGCTTCCCGCATTACAGACCTTTAACCAATCTCTTCAAAAAGGAATTAAATCCGAGAGAGGAATCTCCATTCGAACTACCAGCTATTAGAGCAGAGGGGCTTGTAGTATGCCTAACCAACTGCCTAGCAAGAATAAGCTTCAGTTTAAGGAGTTTGTGTTTTTACTTCATTTCTACACGTTTATGGTTTTGTGTTTGGAACTATAGACCTCTACTGAAAAGTATGCAATTAGTGTTTGATCTGAGTTAAAGTGTCAATAATTAATTTTGAATAGACATGATAGTTAATTTTTTTTTGATTGGTATAGACTGGGATACAGCTTTAAAGGTAGTAAGATAGCAGATATTAAATTCCAGGTCAGCTAGATTCCAAGAAAATTTAGCTGTGATTTGGTAGGCTTGCTAGGCATTCCCTCTGAGCTACTTATACCAAGTCTACTGTTTTGTAAAGAAAATTATTCTAATTATTCAGTGATACTTACTCTGAGTCATGCTGCAGGGAAAGAAACTAGCATTTCTGAGTGTGCATTTATATAATTAGTCATCATTGTTCTAACGTTTTAAAGAGTAGGATGGTCACTTTTCCCAGTAGAGGGTGATCACCAGAGGAGTGTATTGAGGCCTGAACTGCAGAACACATTCATAAATGATGTGGAAAATGTGGTGAATAGTGAAGTTACAGTGTGCTGAAGATATTTAACTATTTCAGAAGGCCATTATAGTAGTAGATGATAGAATTTCCTCTGCTGTTTTATCACTCAGTAGAGATTAATGTGAAGTAATGTGACATGAAAGGGAAAAAGATTCCTAATTTTACATATGTCGTAATGGATCATGAACTGTCTGTTACCATGCAGAAAAGAGAGTTATTGCAGCCAGTTCTGTTACAAATTTCAGCTTAGTAGTGATTGATAGAGCAAATCAAATGTTAGGAAGGGAATGGAGACCAAAATGGAAATAATCATTATGTTACTGGACAGATTCTTGGTTCACTTGCAGCTTGAATCCTACGTGCTCATCTCTCTGTTGCATCTCAGAAAGGCTGCAGGAGAAGTAGAAAAGATGCATTAAATAAAGGCAGTGGGGTTGATCACAGTTAGTTATTCCATGTAAGAACAGCTGAGTGAGCTAGAATTTTTCAGGTTGGAATGTGGGCAGTGGGTAGAAGGGAGAGACGCGGTGCAGATCATTACATTTTCAGTGGGACAGAGAATGTGAACAGAGTGCTGTTGTTCCCCATTGCTTCCACTGTCAGACCTGAGGATGTCACGTGAAATTGTCGGGAGGTGCGCTAAAAGTAAAAACAATGAGATACCTTCATATGACATGTGAAATTCCTTGCTGCAGGAAATTCTGGATGCTTAAAGTTTACATGGATTTACATAAACAAATTCCTAGAAGAAGCATTAACCCCAAATTAGTACAGAGACGCAACCTCTGGCTGAAACTGTCCCTGAGCTATAAGTCATTGAACGTATTGTAGCGTTTTGGGGAGTATCTGTATCTACTTAAATTCCTCCCTGGAGCTGTAGGCCACTGTCAGAAACAGGATACTGGGATATGTGGGCATGTTGATCTGACCTTGTACAGCTGTTTGTATTCATTTTATTTAGTTTGTGTATTGTCCAGTGTTAGTCTGATTTCCCTCATCTCATCATCACTGACCAGGAATAAAAAAGGGAGAGCCTGGCGGATTTTGCTTGTTTAGATTTATAAGGTATCCATTTATTTCATTAGATATAGAACAGTTTCCGTGCTGCTGCTGCGGTCTACTTTTCAGAAGTAAGATGTAAATCAATGGCAAAAAACAAAGCAAACCAAAACAAACTCCTAAAACAAACATTCCCTCCCCTACAGCTTTGCATTTGTTTGGATCTATTTCATGTAAAGGAAAATTTAAATTATGAGTAGTTGTTTACTACTGAGGTAGAAAAATTACATGTATTATGTGATGGATGATTAGAGGAAAGAAAGCAAATCGATAATATAGAATAATCAAAGTTTTAGTTTTTATAAGCAGAAAGAAAACATGCAGGATGTAAAACCTAACAAAAAATCTGAAAATACGCTTAACTCTTCCCTCGTCTCCAATTTTCTTCCTATCTAGAAAGAATCTATTAGCAACTTGATGATCTGTGTATTCTGTTGTGCTTAGAGAAATGTCTCTGGCTTATTGCAGCACTGTTTTTTGTTTTATTTTTTTCTCTTGTAGGTTAACAGAGCCTTCTGGATATTTAACAGATGGACCAATAAATTATAAATATAAAACTAAATGTACATGGTTAATTGAAGGATTGTAAGTATTTCTTTTGGAAGCTTAGTATTTCTTTTGTAGCTTTTGTGACTGTATCTGACAGTTTGCTGCTGTATATTCTAGAGATCTGAAGGAAGGACTTTGCTTTCGTAGATTTGCTAAAGTAATGTAAATGTAAAGTAATATAAGGAGAAATATTTTTTTTTTGGCTTCAATCCTTTAAAGGTAAAAAGAAGTTAAGGTAGGATTTTTCAGGATTGCTTAGAGTTGACTGAACTCCAATCTGATTCAAATTGCTGGCGAAACTCAGACTGACGCTGGAATTTGGCCAATTGACAAGCTCTCAGAATCCTATGATAGATTTTTTGCTGCCTGTTTGATAACACTTACATATGTCCCAAACGTGGTTACAAAATCCAGTTATTTGACTTGTTACCATTCTCTTCAGTGATGAATCAGCAGTGGCTTCAAGTACAGAGTATTTCCGGTCTAATGACAATTAGTTGGATACATGAGGTTTCAGTGTTTAAAAATTAAGGTGTTCTAGTTTCACATAGTAAAACTCCCCTTTTAAAAAAGGCCTTTTGTCGCTCCTGGGAAGACGCCTACATGAAAATCTTTTAGCAGATCCACTGAAAGCTCTTGACAGTTCAGGTTCCCATCAGAGTTCCTTTTTAATAAAAAAAACAAATATAAACTACAACGAGATAACATTCAAAATGAGCAAAGCTCAGAATTGCAAGGTGAAGCAGATGAGTAAAAGGCTTGAATGCAAACCTGCCCCTGACTGCTGCCTGCCTTCAGCATGGGTACTGTTTCTGTCAAGTTTTTTGAGTCCAGCCTTCTGTCTGTTGCAGGCAGACATCTATTAGACAGCTGTCAAGTGGGGTCACGCTGCCGGCTCCTAGCTTGCCCACCCTCTCCCTCCCTCCTTTTTTTGGAGAAAGTTCTGCAGGGTTGTACATGGCCAACGGGTTTTTAGAAAGGGATTCTCCTTTTCCTTCCTTCTTTCCAGAAGGCTCAGCTGTGGTTCGGCGCTCAGCAGCAGTGACGAGGTAGATAGCTCTTCTCCACTGCCTTTACGCTGAAGCGCTTCGATACGATACACCCTGGAGCATGAAAACCAGAAACAAGCAAACTAAATGCTCCTACCATCTGACACACTGCTACAATATGCATCTCTAAGGAGAGCAGGAGACAGTAGAGGCAAGTTAGTCTTTTGTTGGAATGAGGGGTAGCAGTCCTTTCCTTTAACAGCACCGATTTACTGGTTTCTTACTGAGATCTGTTTGTTGCAGTTTGCTAAATTAGTCCTGAATAGGATTCATCTTGCCTAAGTTTTTCCTAGCAAATTATACGGTCATCCGTGCTGCAGAACTGCGCCATGAAACAGTAGCAAGCATGCAAAGACACATTTTGAAATGTTTTCAGACATATTTTCATACTTACTTAAATAGTAATTTAGGCTTTGAAGTTGGGGAGAAATAGAAAAAAAAAAACTTTTCAATTTCATCATTAATGTTGCTTGCTATTGTAAGTTTTACATTTTTTTAAATTCTTAATTTCTTGTTCTCGGTCACTAGCACTAGCTAGAATAAGGATCTGTAGGTGATTGTTTTCTTTTGAAAGTGCCTTCAAACCTGATAGCTCTGACATTGGAAAGTGAAAGTAATATAAATATGATATTAAAATGGGATATTTTAATGACTCCAAATTTGTGTTTTTGAACCCTGATAAAACCTTGTGAATTTAGTAAGTCTCTTGTTAATGGTAGGGTTTATTAGCCTTGGACTGCAAATGTTATTTTAAAAGTATTTTGAAATAAAATGAAATATAATCTGTGATGTTTTACTAGTGCTTAAATTGCTCTAATAAAGTTATGCTGGCATGATGTATTTTGTCAGAATTTCTGTACGTTATGAGCCTATAATTCTGCTAAGTAAAGTTTTACATCAGTATTCTCTTATTTCTTTTTTCAGTCCTAATGCAATACTAAGATTAAGATTTAATCACTTTGCTACAGAATGTAGTTGGGACCATATGTATGTATATGATGGAGATTCAATATATGCACCTTTAATAGCTGTATTTAGGTGAGTATTTATTTGTTAGCCCTTTGTTATCAGCAGTCATGTAGATGTATTTTTAGTTTGAGGGGAAAAAACGACATTAGAGCTTTTAGTTTGTTAGACAGTTTGCTTTCTTTTAGTAATATCAAGGGGACACGCATGTAAGTTCGTATCAGAACAAGTTGCATAACACTACTGGTTTTCATTAGGTGATCACTGCATTAAATCCCTTATGTGGCTTGTACTTAATGTTGACATTGCATGGAGAATTAATGCTCATAGATATGAAATCTCAAATTTGTTTCCCAGTAGGTTTTCAATATTGACTGTTAAGTTTTAATGTCAATGAAATGGGGCACTGGTCAGTAAAATCAGTCACTTATCCTATTTAAGGGAAAGTCACAATTTGCAACTCAGGCAATAAAGATACTGCACTATGTGTAAGTTTTATAAAGAATAACTCCTAAATTTATATGTGAAGCAACCTGTTAAGGGCATCTGATACAAAGGTTCTAGTTACAAAACACTAGTTTTGTAACATATATCCTTCAACTGCTAGACTGGCTATTGTTGTGACTAAATCTTAGTGGGTCGTACTCAGCTTTATCATATCAAATTCTTAAAAGTCCTGGAGGAGAGCTCAAATTTGCTATGAACTGAAATCATGGACGTTCTTTTTGCTTGTTGTAATATCATTAGGTTATGAGAATTGTTACACAACTTGATCTTTTATTCAAATAAGTATTTGTTATATAGGATCACAGTATTACTTTATGCCAAGGTTTAGAAATAAACATAGAATCAGCAGCGTTAGGGAACAAGCGTAACTAGTACTGAATCATGACTAATTATTTGGCTTTCAAATGACAACAAACAATTAAGGCGAAGCATCGGGTCCATGCTCTAAAACATTGCATATATGTGAGAGGCAAAAAGCAGGACATGTGAATTTGTAACTTTTTTTCCTCCTCCATTTTTGGATATTGTTGAATCCAATTGGTGTATTCCTACCTTTCCATTAACATCTTAGGAGACATTCTAGAAAGAATATTCTATGCAAGTGGACTGTAGTTTATTAGACTTGTATAGAAAATAACCAAATATGTTTAATATTCTGTGCTTAGACCCTTGGAATGGAGGCACAAGGTCTTAAGCCATTGAAACCAGTGGAAGTTTTTAGCTTTGCACTCAATAGGTATCCCAAGGTATATTAAGAAATGCAACAAAATATGTGTGTATGTTTGCACATAGGTATATGTGTGTATATATACATTTGCATGTGTACGCACGTGTCTATATACATACAAACACTATAAGTCAGGAGCCTGACTGCTAGTATAAACAGAAGAAAAGATGAGGTTTCTGAAACATCTCCTTCTCTTCCTCTGCTCATTACTTGAAATACCTTTTTTCAGTTTATTGTTTTTTTTTTTAATATTTTTCCCCACTGTATTTTCTTTCTTTTGTGAAAATATTTGATATTTTGCTTTTCCCTCATAATTTTTAACACCTGGTTGGTCCCAGTGCTCTTCCTGTTTTTGCAATAATCTTTTTCTTTCCATTTGTGATTAAAAATTATTAGATGATTATTCTGTTTGCCTTATTAAATATTTAAAAATTTCCCTGGGATTTCTTTAGCTTGTAGTTTACATTTGCCATGTAGCACTGTTTTATGCAGATGATCCTTTTTCTCTGCTTCAATACGGTAGCGTACTGATTGTTTTCCCCATTTCAGTGTTTACTTCATGGAAAACACCCTTTAGAATTTTTTAAAAGTATTTTATTTTCCATTGGAAGTTACTGTTTTCATGGAAAGAAGCTAAGTATTAAAATTATTTTAAACACTGAAATTATAAGATAAAGAGAAAATTTTTAATGGTACAAATATCACGTGGAAATATAATTAATTTTGATAGACTGTGTGAGTTAAGCACTTAATTGTTTAAGCCTGAAGGTGGCACTATCCCCCCTTCCCCTGGCAGAATTAAAATAATTCATTTGAAAAATTACGTTGACATCACATGTGCCTAGTGTGAAATTTTGTATTACTGGTTGCTTGGTTGATTTCTGGCCTCTCCGTTTCCCCCAAAGCCCTACCTTACCTTGCAGAGGTGTGGGTAAGTTTTATATACATTGAATGCTTTTTAAAAAAGTTCTTAGTGAGATTTCTGAATAACGTTGTCTGTATAATTAAGAATCTGAATGCCTAACTCTTAATTTTCTTTTTTTTCCAGAGTGATTAAAAAGACATTATTCTCATTTTCTTTTCCAGTGGTCTAATAGTCCCTGAAGTGCGTGGAAATGAAACTGTTCCTGAAGTAGTTACTACATCTGGCTATGCATTGCTACACTTTTTTAGTGATGCTGCTTATAACTTAACTGGATTTAACATTTTTTACTCGTAAGTATTTTTAAAAATGTATTACTTCGTTAGTTAGCCCATCATCCTCTTTAGGAGGATGGCAAACCTAAGTAAAGTATTTATCTTCTAATTGTATTAATAGTGTCAAGGAGTTATGCCTTATGGTAAGTTTTTAGAACCAGGGCGTCAGAGTTCATTAATGAATTGTTGTTAACCTAGTGGTTTAAAATAAGATAAAGCACATTTTTCCCTGAGGCAATCCGCGTGTACATCCTAAGAGTATAGTTGTTCCCTGCCATATGGGACTAGAGAGCTTTCCCCTTCCAGTAGTTATCTAATGCGTATACTTGTCACGTGGAATCTGCCATCATCTCGTTTCCCTTCTCTTGAATTAGAGTGGTCTATTGCTGGATTTTTCTTGCTGAATATACCTTTATGGATTTCACCCAAATCCTCCTTTTATTCTTGTGCCAGCAAGGAGGGTTATATCTCATCTTCTTTTCTGTATTTCAGATACTTTCCTCTCTATTGTCCACCTCAACCTGCATTCGTAGTTTTTATCTGGACTGTTCTTTTAGTTTCTTTAACAACAAATTTTAATCTGGTGTAACTATACTTGCTTTCTTTCAATCTTTTTTTGTATGCCAGCAGCCCTAGAGATGCATCCAAAAGGCTTGTGCCTCTTTCTTCTTTTATGTACCATCTGTTGATTCCAACTTCTGTCTCATTTAGGAAGTGATTTGACACATCGTGTGGTATCTCATCCACAGTAGGTGGTTTGGTTCAAGAGAATTGCTTGGTCCTGTTGCCTTCTTCATGTGACAGTTTTTCCATGATTGTGGATATTCTTATTCCCTTTTTTGAATCCCTTTAGATTCCGAAATACTAATTTTTGGAATGTGGTAGCCGGCACTACACTTCCCATGTGGCAGCACATAAAATATTTTATGTCATACTCTTTATTCATTTAAAATCCTCACCTTCCTTTTTGGCCGTAGCTTTACTCTTAACATAGGTATTGCTTAGTTTTCTGTAGCAAAATTGCTTCTGTGATTTGCAGCACTTTTCCATCCTTATCCCAGATGATAAATAGCTATTCAGAGTTTGGGAATCCTCTCTAAGTACATGGCATTGCAAGTGGCAGTCTGGAAAACTAGGTATTTTTATCTTCTTTCACCATGTTATTTCTTTTCAGTTGACATCAGTAAAATACAATCAGCTGAAAAACTTACCTTGGCTGTAGTTAGATACATTCCTCAGTTATTCCCGAAGCTTTTATTGCACTTTTTTGTTTGCCTTGGGAGTAAATGGCAATATGACATGGCATTCTTAAGGGATGAATGTGTGTGTTTTGCATTCTTTTATTAATTGGTAATGTAGTGCTTGCTATGTGTAATTACATGATTATTTTGGAAGATTTAAAATAACTGGAAAAACCTGCCAGGTTTAAAATCCCTTACGTGTGCAGGGGCATATAACTTAGGAAATCATACCTTCTCCATTTTTCTGTTTCTAATGTTCTAGTAAATACTAGTAAATTCTAGTAAATCTTTTTTTAAAAAAAGATTTTTAATGAGCCAACGAGAATTCTTTTTATGCTCAAAGAAATGCATATGCTTGCTTGTTATGGCTGCATTGTTTTGTCCGTTGTTCTAATCTGCTGTACTCTGCTTCTGTTGCCCTCTTTTCTTCCTTTGTTTGAAAGCAAGTGTCAAACGTTTTTTTGACTTCAGCTTTGACTTCGTTTTGGTGGACCATTCATGATGCCTTTATTTTGTGGAAGGCAGAAGTGCAGCATCTGTGACTAAATGCCATGCTAACTGCAGAGACCAGTACTCTCTGAGGAAATCTTTGTGTTCCTAGGAGTCAGGCGTCCTGATTCCACCTTCACTGAATGCCTTTATCTCATTCTGTCTGAATCATTTAAAAAACTATTGAGGTATATTGGAAAGGGAGAATGTCCACTCTTAAGCTGGGTTTTCTCTTCCTAGAAAGACGTAAGTATTTGCCTGCCTTGCAGAACACACACTCTTGAGATATCCCAGTCTATGATGGTGATGTGAGAGGTTCAGCTGTGGTAATCAGTTGTTAATGCCAACAATGGTTTTAATGCCCCGTGTATACCAGACAACCCCTCTGCCCCCCAGGACGTTTCCCGTTCAGGAGAGGAATTCTCTTTTGTTAGAGTAACAGAAGCATTTCTCTGAGGTGAGTCCTTAGAAAGTGAAAATTTCTCTGAACTACGCTAGCACAACAACATGGGGCCGGAAGCCAGTTTTAAAACATTCCCTCCTCACTTTTTCAGCTCTTTCTTCCTTCCGTAAGAGCAAGAAAGATTTACAGTGGTGTCAGATGCTCACATTTACAGGCAGGTGGATGTCGATGCTCACATCTACAGGCAGTGGTTCGTGTTATCATTGTCAGGGGCTTTTAGTAACAGTTTATTCTGAGTTTCAAACAAATCCTTCCCTGTTTCAGGGATTTCAAATCCTTTTTGGATTTCATCAAGCATTTGCTTCCCGAGATTCACGTTCTGGTCGTAAAATCTCTTGGGCCCACAGTCCTCCTGTACTTCTGGAGCCAGTTTGCATAATTTTGCAGAGTTCGCTCTCCTGTGAGCTCGGTGTTCAGTAGGGTGGATCAAAGAAACGCTCAGTCCCATAACAGTCACAGACTTTTTCTTCCAGCTTAATCTTTCCTCTTTTAGCATTTTTCACTCTGTAGTAAAGAAGGCAAGGTTAAGGTGGCTCTATTATTAAGGACTCTAAGGCGGAAGTGCCATTTTTAGGTAGTCTCAGGGTATTTGCTATCTTGTGTACTTTCTCACTCTGTGTTTATTCTCCCTACATGTTAGACAGCTTGTCTTGTTTTATGTAATGGGCCAAAGCCACTCAAGAAAACCCCTTAACTGCGTGTGTCTGATGGAGAGTTAAGAGACTGGGAATCTATCTTAACAGAGACACTTGCTCACTGTGTGACTGGTTGTGAACTGCCTGCAGCAGCGGGGCTGAACTGTGCTCGAATTCAAGCAACACCTTCACCTGCTGTGTAAAGAGCTTTTTCCTTAGGAGTTGCCGCTTGGCTCCCCATTCACACTTTGAAGCTACTTTGGAAGCCCATTAGTGGTCGTCTTTTGGAAAAGTACCTTTTATTCGATTGAGATTCCAATCCTCTTCTGTGTAAGTGGTATTCATGAGGGTTACTACTTGAAGTCACTTCCAGTGTGCATGTACATAAAGATAAGCATTTGAAGGGACTGACTAGAGATTACTTACAGTAGAACTCTCAGAAAATTTGATTGAGATGTTGCCTGTCCCTCTACTTATTGTCAATACTTCTTGTAAAGCAGATGTTTGTGATACTGACTGTGGCACAAACTTTGTGTGTAAGCCTGGTTTAGCTCCTGTTCAGCTCAGTTGTCTGTCTAATGATGATTGAACTTTCATTTTATCAGTATTTTAGAAAATTTTCAGCAAAAGGTGCTTTATCCAACAAACACTGTTGGAATAATATCAGAGAGAACCACTCTCATCCACTCTCAGTTTGTCATTTGCCTTATTTTACGTATTTTTTTGCAGAATTAATTCTTGTCCTAATAACTGCTCGGAACATGGGAAGTGTACAACCAGTGTGTCTGTTCCAAGCCGGGTGTACTGTGAGTGTGACAAATACTGGAAGGGAGAAGCCTGTGATATTCCGTATTGTAAAGCCAACTGTGGTAGTCCAGATCATGGATACTGTGATTTGACAGGCGAGAAGCTGTGTGTTTGCAATGATAGCTGGCAAGGTAAGGTTTTGTTATTTAGAATCAAGGTAATCTTTTTTTTTTTTTTTTTAAAGAGCACTTTTAGTGTGCCTTACCCAGTATGTCAATTAATGTCATTAAAAAGTAAACATAAATGAAAAAGTACTTTCTGAAGCAAATTTTCATATGGACTTAGACATGCTTCCTTTAATGAAATGAAGGGCTTTGCGTTCTGTTTAAAGATACTGCGGAAGTATCAGGTCCAGTCATTTTTGTGGAGGACATTCTTTTTTTGCATCATTGATTTGATATGTAATGGCAATAATTACTCAAAAATTAAGAGCTCTCACTCTAAAGACTGAGCTCTTCTGTAGCCTAATTTCTATTCTATTAATTTTTTAATTTCTAGGTAATTTGATCCCCCCTCCCCCCTTTCTGGCTGTCAGATCAGCCCTTATAAAATAAGTGCTTCATGAAATAAATATTCACTATCTGATTTTACATAATTTGTTGCCTATTAGTTAGCCTCTTGATGAAAGAGGAAGGTAAGCTGTCTCGTATTGTGATGATACAGGAATGTGTATGTGAACAAATACTGTGGAAAAATGAATGTGCTGTGCTGTAAGCATGTATGCTGTAGTTATACTCCCAGGAACTTTTTTGTACCCGTACCATACATAACTGTTTCTTATTAAAAGTCTATTAATAAGCTCCTGAATGTTTATTGCACTTACTAAAATTGTACTAGATGCTTATGAATTCTTTTATCATTTACCATTCATATTAAAAATCCCAATTGGATTAGCTTGCTACTTATTGAAATTGCCGTTTCTCTCCCAAAAGAAATACTGAAACCTCTCCAGATTACTTAGCTGATAACGCCCTCTTCCCATTCCTTTCTCCTCCTTCTTTTATTTTTATTGCTATTTATTTTTATGTGTTAAAGGAAATTAATTTTTTACTCCTGGCCAGACCTATTATACGAAAGAGAGCATGAGATTTAATAAATGTCTCTTGTTAATTAATTAAGTTGTTCCTTAAATGACAGTCAGTCCACCATGGAAATCCACTAGAGGAAATGGATTAGCAGTAGGGTCACTGGAGGGAAGCAGTGGCAGACATCCTACTGAATCCTTAAAAACATCTCATGCTCGTAGTGCATTTAGAAACAGTAACAAAAACCTTGATAGTTCAATCTCTAGAATGAAGTTGTGAGCTGAGTTTGCAGCAAGAATATCACCTTTTCACTTGTGCATTGATTCTATGCCATTTCCAATTATTGCAAGTGAAACTACAAAACATCTCAAGTCTGTGGAACGATTTTTAAGATGGACCTTCATTACAGTCTTGAGTGGAACTTTTGAGCTGGAAAAACCCCCTCACTTTCGTTGTTAGTAACTTCTTTTAATATAGCGTTTCTGTATATACTAGTTTCCTATTCTTTCCTACGATAAGTAGGATTATAGAGAGCGAATATACTCAATTATTTCCTTATTTTTTCCCAAATCTACGTAACTTTCAAATAATATATTCCTTATTCTATGTCGGATGAGCTGGTTTGGGTGCATAGTTGATTTGTTTTCCAAAGGAAAAAAGCCCACAAAAACAAACAAACACCCCATGCACATACGCACTCCCCAAACTTTCAAACTTCCTGGAAGTTCTGTGGGAGGCTACTTGCTGTAGTGTTTTATTATGATTATTATTTTACATCTAAATGCTCTTCACAGTTCCTGAACTATTGTCATGAATGCTATCTTTTTCGAAGAGTTTTATGTTTCTTTTTGTTGCACATTTTGTTTCTTTGAGTATATTTAATCTATATGTATGGAAAAAGTTCTGTTATTGGACTATATTGATTAAAATGTTAAAAAACGTGGTTCAGGACATAAAAAGGCATTTCATATTGTACAATATACTTTTTTTTTATTTTGTATTTTTTTCACAATGGCGACATCTTGTGGATACTGTAGAAGGAACATCTCCCTTAAAGAAAATCTCACACCCGAAGTACTCTGAGAAAAGAGAGCATGGTATTCTTCAGGATAGAATAATGATTTTGAGTAAAAGATAGGTCTTCTGTAGATTATTATATGCAGTACGTTTTATGGACAAGGAAATTAGAGTGGTAAAAAACTCACAGTGAAATGTTTAAGCTTCGAAATCAAATAATTTATGTTCGTATTTTTATTCTTAGCACAAAAAACATTGATTTTATTATAGTAAAGATGACTGATATCAGAAATACCACTGGGCAGAAAATTTATTATTTCCTTGAAATCTGGTTAATACAAAATATTCAGACAACATAAAGGAGAGTGATATTTTTTCGGAAGAATGCTTCCTTTTAAGAGTACTCCTTATATTACACTGTTCTCCAGCTAATCCGTGCTGACATTATGAACTAGAATGGATTGATGCCTATTACTGTACATAATGGATGTAATTTTGGAAGAAAAAAGATGACTTAAAACTACCTATTTGCTATCTTTTTCTTTGCCAGATAAAGGCAAGAAAGAAATGGGGACTTGAGTGAAACAAAAGTATTGGTGCTTGCGGTATTTGACCTGTTTTCAGTTTAAAAGATTATAGGAAGATGTGACCATATGGTGAATCTGTTTGTGTTGCCGGCCAGTATCAATTCTATTTGATCTGGGAACACCGTGTCTCAGATGGATGCAGTCTCAGACTGCAAGTGAGCAGAGGAGACTTCAAAACAATTAATGCTGATTTCTATAACATTTTGAAAAACTGAGGATACTTTGAAGGATTCTTGACATAGTTCCACATTTTAAAAGGGTTAAGTGGACTATTTTTGCAAAAGCTGAAAATGTTACTAACTACTATCAATGTGTTGTACTTTTTAAAAATAAGTTTACAGATCTTATTGATAGAGACATTATTTGGTTTCTTCAAGGAGCTTGACTTTATACCATGTAAAGGGAATAACTAGCCTGCCGCACATTAAATAGGTTAAAAACCGTTTCACGGAACGATCTCAAAATGTAGCGACCTGTAAAATATGCAGTAGCCCATTTCTTAGAGGATCTTCCAGTGACCAGGTTTTGTCCAGTGTTAACCAATATTTTTATAAAAAGTCTTGATTATTGCATATAACCTTTAGTGATAAAATTTTCAGGTGATAGTAAGGTTCACTGTGCAGTAAATAAAAAGGAAGAGGATGATTTCATTTTAGAGAGCTCTAAATTACCTAGATCAATAATCATAATTTTAAAAGTCACATTGATATTGCTCGATGTAAGGTAATAGATCCAGGAACAAAGACTGCAGGCTAAGCTGCAGAATAACAGGCTGGCTTATACAGTGGAGATAGAGAGTTAAAAGACTTGCATATCCTTACTGTATGTAATGACTTTAGCCTGAGTTTCTGTTGCAGCTCTGAACCTGAAGTGGTATCTTTAAATGTATGAAAAGAGGTATATCTAATAGAGAGCAAGTGACCCTTTCTCTGTGGCAGACATTTGTGAGATAATGTTGGAGTACAGTGTCCAGTATCAGGGATCAGCACTTTAAAGAGTATAAATAACAAGAGAATTCAAATTGGGCCTCGAAAAACCAGTGTATGTACTAGGAAACGATCTTGCAATTGGGCGATTAAAGAGTAGTTGCGGCTGTAAGGCTTTATCTTTAATGGGAATCCCCATTGAGAGCTACTGCATGGGCGCAGCCTACTTCATATTCCGGTTGGATGTGAGAATGATCTTGGTGCTGGCTCCATTTGCACTAGGTGCAGAAAGGGAAAAAAGAGTCAAAGGTTTTACTGAAGTTACCTATCAAAGAGAAACTTTATTGGTACTTTGATCATTGCGTGTCAGTCTCTTGTGAGGCTCAGAAGTGTGCCTTGAAGCAATTTGAGCAGTCACACCTATATTTTGGCCCACATCATGAGAAGGACCCAGAGCACATGAACTGCATTTCATCCTTTTAGATGAAACTGCACTAGAAGATGAGCTCAAGAGCTGCACATAACGCACAGCAGTCATAAGCGGGCGTTCAGTGCCAGGGATCAGATCTAGTCCAAAATCAAAACAACAACAAAAACTCTGAAATTTGTATAGTCAGATGTTACTCCCTACAGGTCTGCTCCTAGCAGATAGAGATGTGGCAAAAGACTGGAGTCTGAAATTACACAAATTTAACTTTGAAGTAAGTTTGTTAGCAGTTTGAGCAGCTTGTTTTTTATAGCAGCTCAACAGTGAAAAATGAGTAACTTTCTGCATGGAGAAAATGAAACAATGGACTTATAAAGGGAGCGCTTTGACTACTGCACTGTAAAAGTTCAAATATTTTCCTTAGTCACTGCTATGACACTTACTCAAACAGCATCTTGTGTATGGTCAGAACCACTATGTTAATGAGTGCCTATATTCAATTTAGATTACCTTGAATGGACTGTCTAGAATGGATGCTGTTTAAGTGGAAGGCTTTGAGGTCATACTCCCTTGTTTGGCCTGCCTCATTCTTAAAAATTGAGGTTTAGCAAATCTGCGTTTGTGTATATGGAGGTGATTTATTGAAAATAACCGAGAACGAGTGAGGTGTGAGCTCAGGCCGGGCAGTTGAAATGCAGTACTGAAAAAGAACTTGTGCCAAATGCCCAAAGGTCTGAAATCTGAGTTTTTGACCTGCTGTGCCTGGATAGTCTTGAACAGCAAGTGCATAAGTAAGTGTTTTCAGAGAAACAGATACATGAAGTAATATTCACTTTGGACAAACCTATTCTTGAAAGGGAAAAAAAACAGAAGCAGGTGTCTCATCACTCTCTTACCCTGTGATAACCCCCTCTTTCTGTAGTGGTTATCTGACAGGTTTTCGGTTGAACAAGTATCAGTTTGGTCAGAAGAAACTGCAGTTTTACAGTCTGTGAGATATCCTGTCAAATATATGTAAATATGCATATATTAAAACTATATACACACATATAGACACTCATCCAAGGAACTCTTTCCTCCCACAATGTAAAGTTAAAATTCCGTTTCTGCACTCAGTATTTATACATTTAATTATGAGTATCTCATAGA